CTTGTTTCTTAAGGTAGGATTGTATTGCTATAAACTTCCCTCTTAGAACTGCTTTTGCTGCATTCCATAGGTGTTGGGGCATCGTGTTTTCATTGTCATTTGTTTCTAGGTATGTTTTGATTTCCTCTTTGATTTCTTCAGTGATCTCTTCATTATTAAGTAGTGTATTGTTTAGCCTCCATGTGTTTGTATTTTTTACAGAGTTTTTCCTGTAATTGATATCTAGTCTCATAGCATTGTGGTCAGAAAGGATACTTGATAAGATTTCAATTTTCTTAAATTTACCAAGGCTTGATTTGTGACCCAAGATATGATCTATCCTGGAGAATGTTCCATGAGCACTTGAGAAGAAAGTGTATTCTGTTGCTTTTTGATGGAATATCCTTTAAATATCAATTAAGTCCATCTTTTTTAATGTATCATTTAAAGCTTGTGTTTCCTTATTTATTTTCACTTTGGATGTCCTGTCCATTGGTGAAAGTCAGGTGTTAAAGTCCCCTACTATGAATGTGTTGCTGTTGATTTCCCTTTTTATGGCTGTTACTATTTGCCTTATGTATTGAGTTGCTCCTATGTTGGGTGCATAAATATTTACAATTGTTATATCTTCTTGGATTGACCCCTTGTTCATTATGTAGTGTCCTTCTTTGTCTCTTGTAATAGTCTTTATTTTAAAATCTATTTTGTCTGATATGAGAATTGCTACTCCAGCTTTCTTTTGATTTCCATTTGCTTGGAATATCTTTTTCCATCCCCTTACTTTCAGTCTGTATGTGTCCCTAGGTCTGAAGTGGGTCTCTTGTAGACAGCGTATATATGGGTCTTGTTATTGTATCCATTCAGCCAGTCTATGTCTTTTGGTTGGAGCATTTAATCCAATTACACTTAAGGTAGTTATTGATATGTATGTTCCTATTACCATTTTCTTAATTGTTTTGTGTTTGTTATTGCAGGTCTTTTCCTTCTCTTGTGTTTCATGCCTAGAGAAGTTCCTTTAGCATTTGTTGTAAAGCTGGTTTGGTGGTGCTGAATTCTCTTGGCTTTTGCTTGTCTGTAAGGTTTTAATTTCTCTGTCAAATCTGAATGAGATCCTTTTTGGGTAGAATAATCTTGGTTGTAGGTTTTTCCCCTTTACCAGTTTAAATATGTCCTGCCACTCTGTCCTGGCTTGCAGGGCTTCTGCTGAAAGATCAGCTGTTAACCTTATGGGGATTCCCTTGTGTGTTATTTGTTGTTGTTCCCTTGCTGCTTTTAATGTTTTTTCTTTGTATTTAATTTTTGATAGTTTGATTAATATGTGTCTTGGCGTGTTTCTCCTTGGATTTATCCTGTATGGGAGTTTCTGTGCTTCCTGGTCTTGATTAAATATATCCTTTCCCAGATTAGGGAGGTTTTCAACTATAATCTCTTCAAATGTTTTCTCAGTCCCTTTCTTTTTCTCTTCTTCTTCTGGGACCCTTGTAATTCGAATCTTGGTGCGTTTAATGTTGTCCCAGAGGTCTCTGAGACTGTCCTGAGTTCTTTTCATTCTTTTTTCTTTATTCTGCTCTGCAGTAGTTATTTCCACTATTTTATCTTCCACGTCACTTATCCGTTCTTCTGCCTCAGTTATTCTGCTATTAATCCCTTCTAGAGAATGTTTAATTTCGTTTATTGTGTTGTTCATCACTGTTAGTTTGCTATTTAGTTCTTCTAGGTCCTGGTTAAACATTTGTTTTATTTTCTCCATTCTATTTCCAAGATTTTGGATCATCTTTACTATCATTATTCTGACTTTTTCAGGTAGACTGCCTATTTTTTCTTCATTTGTTAGGTCTGGTGGGTTTTTACCTTGCTCCTTCATCTGCTATGTGTTTCTCTGTCTTCTCATTTTGCTTATCTTACTGTGTTTGGGGTCTCCTTTTTGCAGGCTGCACGTTCATAGTTCCTATTGTTTTTGGTGTCTGCCCCCAGTGGCTAGGGTTGGTTCAGTGGGTTGTGTAGGCTTCCTGGTGGAGGGGCCTAGTGCCTGTGTTCTGGTGGATGAGGCTGGATCCTGTCTTTCTGGTGGGCAGGTCCATGTCTGGTGGTGTGTTTTGGGGTGTCTGTGGACTTATTATGATTTTACGCAGCCTGTCTGCTAATGAGTGGGGTTGTGTTCCTGTCTTGCTAGTTGTTTGGCATAGGGTGTCCAGCACTGTAGCTTTCTGGTCATTGAGTGGAGCTGGGGCTTGGCATTGAGATGGAGATCTCTGGGAGATTTTCGCCGTTTGATATTACGTGGAGCTGGGAGGTCTCTTGTGGATCAATGTTCTGAACTTGGCTCTCCCACCTCAGAGGCACAGCCCTGATGCCTGGCTGAAGCACCAAGAGCCTGTCATCCACATGGCTCAGAATAAAAGGCAGAAATAAAGAAAGAAAGAACGAGAGAGAGAGAGAGGGAGGGAGGGAGGGAGGGAGGGAGGGAGAGGGAGAGAGACAGAGACAGAGACAGAGAGACAGAGAGACAGAGAAAGAAAGGAAGAAAAAATAAAATAAAAGTTGTTAAAATAAAAAATAATTATTTAAAAAATTTAAAAAGTAAAGAAAAAGAAAGAAAGGAGGAAAGAAGAGAGCAACCAAACCAAAAAACAAATCCACCAATGATAAGAAGTGCTAAAAACTATAGTATAAAAAAGAAGTAAGAAAAACGGACTGATAGAACTGTTGGACAAATGGTAAAAGCAAAACTATACAGAGAAAATCTCACACAGGAGCATACACATACACACTCACAAAAAGAGAAAAAGGGAAAAAAAAATATATATCGTTGCCCCCAAAGTCCACCTCCTCAATTTGGGATGATTCGTTGTCTGTTCAGGTACTCCACAGATGCAGGTACATCAGGTTGATTGCGGAGATTTAATCCGCTGCTTCTGAGGCTGCTGGGGGAGATTTCCCTTTCTCTTCTTTGTTCTCACAGCTCCCAGGGGCTCAGCTTTGGATTTGGCCCCGCCTCTGCGTGTAGGTCGCTTGAGGGCGTCTGTTCTTCGCTCAGACAGGACGGGGTTAAAGGAGCTGCTGATTCGGGGGCTCTGGATCACTCAGGCCGGGGAGAGGGAGGGGCACGGAGTGCGGGGCGGGCCTGCGGCGGCAGAGGCCAGCGGGACGTTGCACCAGCTTGAGTTGCGCTGTGCGTTCTCCGGGGGAAGTTGCCCCTGGATCCCGGGACCCTGGCAATTGGTGGGCTGCACAGGCTCCCCGGAAGGGGGGTGTGGAGAGTGACCTGTGGTGGCACACAGGCCTCTCAGTGGCGGCAGCAGCAGCCTTAGCGTCTCATGCCCGTCTCTGGGGTCCGCGCTTTTAGCCGCGGCTCACGCCCGTCTCTGGAGCTCCTTTAAGCGGTGCTCTTAATTCGCTCTCCTCGTGCACCAGGAAACAAAGAGGGAAGAAAAAGTCTCTTGCCTCTTCGGCAGCTCCAGACTTTTTCCCAGGCTCCCTCCTGGGTAGCCGTGGTGCACTAACCCCTTCAGGCTGTGTTCACGCCGCCAACCCCAGTCCTCTCCCGGCGCTCCATCCGAAACCGAAACCTGAAACCCGAGCCTCAGCTCCCAGCCCCGCCCGCCCCGGCGAGTGAGCAAACAAGCCTCTCGGGCTGGTGAGTGCTGGTCGGCACCGATCCTCTGTGCGGGAATCTCTCCGCTTTGCCCTCCGCACCCCTGTTGCTGTGCTCTCCTCTGTGGCACCGAAGCTCCCCCCTCCGCCTCCCGCAGTCTCCGCCCGCGAAGGGGCTTCCTAGTGTGTGGAAACCTTTCCTCCTTCACAGCTCCCTCCCACTGGTGCAGGTCCCATCCCTATTCTTTGTCTCTGTTTTTTCTTTTTTCTTTTGCCCTACCCAAGTACGTGGGGAGTTTCTTGCCTTTTGGGAGGTCTGAGGTCTACTGCCAGCGTTCTGTAGGTGTTCTGTACGAGTTGTTCCACGTGTAGATGTATTTCTGTTGTATTTGTGAGGAGGAAGGTGATCTCCGCGTCTTACTCCTCTGCCATCTTGAAGCTCCCCAGAATACACATTCTTTTGAAGTGCACATAGAACATTTATCAAGACAGACCGTGTGGATTTATAATGATTGAAATCATACAAAATATGTTCTCTGATTAGAATGAAATTAAATTAAGAATAAATAACAGAAAAATATCTGGAATAATCTTTACATATTAGGAAACTAAAGAACACACATAATTCATAGGTCAAAGAAGAAATCACAGGGAAATTAGAAAATATTTAGAATAAAATGAAAATGAAATACAACATATCAAAGTTTGTGGTAAGCAACTAATGCAGTGCTCAGAGAAAAACGTATACCTTTAAATGCTTACATTAGAAAAGAAGAAAAGGCTAAAGCCAGTGGTGTAAATTTCTAGTTTAAGAAGCTAGAAAAAGAGGAACAAGTTAAGCACAAAGAAAGTAGCGTGAATAATAAAAATGAGAGCAGAAATCAATGAAATAAGAAATGGTCAAAGAATGGAAAAAAAATAATTAAGCCCAAAACTGTTTTTTTCTTTCAATAAATAAAATTGAAAGATCTTTAGCTAGAATGATCCAGAAAAAGACACAAATTATCAGTATCTAGAATAAAAGAGAAGGCACCACTATAGATCCTACAGACAATGAAAGGATAAATAAAATCAAATATCATTGTTATTATTGTTATTGATGTAATGTCAATGTAATGCCAATATATTTGACAACATATGAAATTGACAAATTTCTTGAAAGATACATAGTACCAAAAGTGGCACAGAAAGACACAGAAAACCTGAATAGCTTTGTCTGGCATTACTGGTGAAATCAACCAAATATGTAAGAAAAGAAAACATACTGATTTTACACAAACTCTTTCAGAAAAGAAAAGGGAAAATGAATTTTAGGAGCACCCCGAAACCAAAACCCAGACAAAGACATTATGAGAGCAATATCCCTTTATGAGCACATGTGCTGGGGGCACTACTGCATCCATCACAGGTCTCTGATTGTCTCGCAGGTATGCCGGCATCCTTCTGGACGAGGACATTTTCCGAGGTTAGGAGCTTGTCAGCAGTCGCCCGCTGCAGGTGCTGCTGGCGGGTCTGAAGGCCTACAGTACCTGGGAGAACATCGGCTGCCTGCAGGACTGCCGAGAGTGCACTGGAGGCTTGGTGAGCCCCCGCGGGCCCCCAGTCCTGCCGGGTCTGCGTAGTTACACGTGTGGGGGCTGACCGTGTGGCCAGTGGGATTTGGAACCAGGTGGAATTCCCCCCTGCCCTTGTGACCCTGGATGCATTACTTAATTTTGTCACCTGTGCATGTCCACCTTCTTGGATGCTGCGAGGACTGATGCAGACCATGCTTGTAAAATGCTTGGCCCGTGGAGGCCCGCGGTAAATGTCATGAAACTTGGTGGTGGTGGTTGTTGAGAGTATAGGAAAGGGCCAGTGGGGGTCAGATGATCAAAGCTCTGCTCCAGTGTTTAAATCCCTTGGGGAGAAGGCAGGAGTGACCCCAGGGGTTTCTACCCTGGGAAGGAGGCAAATGGGGATATGCCAACCATTTAGAGAGTGTATAGAGTGTCCCCAGCCCAAGCCTCAGACCATATTGAGCAGTGAGGGGTGTGAGGTATGAGAAACCCCAGTATGAATCTTTGCAGAGTCGAGGGCAGTCTGAGGACAGCTGGGATCTGTGCTCTATTCCTCTACAATCCTGAGAGTGGAGGTGCCTGCGGGATGCAGGATGCCAGAGTCTCTGCATCCCTGTGGGAGCCCAGCGCTGGTCAGAAAGGGGACCCAAGTGGGGTCTCTGAGGACAGGATGTGGGGGATGTGTGGTTGTGGACCTGTGACTCGGTGGCATTGCACGGCTGCAGACATCAGCTCTGATGGCATCTGAGGTTCAGCCCCAGATGACAGCGCTGTGTGGGTGACCCCCAGGGACCACACTGCCTCATCGTCCTGTGGGCCAGAAGCAGGCCCTGCAGGAAGAGCAGGGAGGAGGGAGCCCCTCTTGGGCCTTGGGCCTGAATTCCATCTTGAACTTGACTGAGTATTTGCCTAACAACAGCAACTCTGAACCTGAAGGGGAGGCTGAAGAATTTTAGCCTCAGTGAGAAGGGGTCAAGGGCAAGTCCAGGGTGGTTGTAGAGAATAAAAGGGGAGGATGCGTTTCTGGAGAGCCCGGCCTCAGAGCAGCAGACTCGGGGTCCATGGAGGGGCGAGGAGGGGCTGGGCCTTCACCACCGGCAGAGCCCAAGGTTTCTCCCACATGAACGGTGAGGATGGGACTGGGAGCCTCCTGAGTCCTTTCATCTGAGAGTCACCGTGCTCACTTCTCTCACGGTGGCTGAGTAAGGGTGTGCACGTGGCGAAGGGGACCTTGGTTGGTCAGACGTGCGTACTGTGTCTGTGATGGTGGGGGACATGTTTGCTTTTCCAGTGGGAATGATGTCGGGTCTGCCTGGAAAAGAAGGAGAATAGGGAATGAAGTGACAGCTGGCGCTGGGGCACAGCTGGACCGGGAGTATAGGTCCTCTGAGGCAGCTGGGGTGATGGCTTATAATGACCTTAAGTGACCTGACACGTGTGAGGCCCCTGCCAAGGGGCTGGTTTCCATCCATCCAGTGGCCCTGCCTGCTCATGCCCTCCTTCGTTGCCAAGCACCGACCGGCAGTGCAGAAATGACCCCTTCACCCACCATATTATGGAAAAGAACCTGACCGTGGAGGGCTGCTCTTCCAGGCTGGATGCCAGGCCTGTAATCCCACCGGGCACTGCTGCCTCATGAGGCTTTGCTTCCCAGGAGCTCCTCAGCAATGGATGCAGAGGGCCCTGATTTCCATTTCTGTTCCTTCCCTTCTCCTCTCCACCCCCATATCCACCCAACACCTAGCCCAAGGCTATTTGTAGAGACATAAATATTTGTTGAAAGAAAAGCATGAGCATCTTCTAATTGTTCTAAGTTATATTTACAAACACCACATCTTGTGCAGGCAGGAGGTCTCCAGGAGTGAAGTGTGAATGTCTGGGAGCTCCCGAGATGGTACTGAAAACCACCTCTTTCATGGCCCGTAGGTCTAAGTAGGTCTTGCTTCAAAAAAATGTATTTCAACACACATTTGCTGGGTTTGAAGCCAGCAGCCCTGGGTATGACCACAGGAAAGTTTTTCCCTTCACTATGCCTCATTTTCCCCATATATAAAATGAGGATAAACTCTCCTTTGTAGTGGTTGTGAGGGTTAAGTTATGCAAAATGATGATCATAAAATGCTTCATAGATGAACCCAGGAAGCAGCAGCTGACATCTTTATGGTGTGCTTACCCTGGGGATTTGGAGAAAAAAAAAATACCACTTGGTCTGTTCTGCTTGCCATCGTAAAGATGGATACAGAACCCAGACTGGTATGGCAGGTCCTATGCAGCAGCTGGGGCTGGGAGGGCTCAGTGACATCTGGAGGGGGGCGGGGGGCAGTCCTTGAGCAGTGTCATTTTAGCAATTTAGAGGATGAACGAGAGGCTTCGAGATGGGGGTCTGAGGACCTGCTGGATAAAGGGATACCTGCACACAGGTGAAGGTGTGGGAGTGTGTGGCGCATCTAGGGACACTGGGACAGGCATGGGCTGGGTTCAGGTGAAGGTGCAAGGGAGGAATGGCAACTTTATTCAGACAGCCAGCAGACCAAGAAGATGGTGGACTTGTGTCCCAAAGAACCATCTTACCTGAGTTAGAATTCAGGCTTCTTTTATACTAAAATGGGAGGGGGTGTGGTTAGTTGTTGCAAACTTCTTGGGGTCAGAATCCTTTGTTCTTGCAGCTGTCCTTGTAGGTCAGGTCACGAAGTTCCTGTAAACCTTCCACAAGACAAATGTTATTCTCTGTTCTGCAACTTCTTATCTCTTATTTGAGTGGGAAAGTGTTATACCTTTAAAGGTCAGAGCCTTGCGAATGGGCTATCCTGTATATTTTCAGGCTGTAAGCAACGTTCTTAACTTGTAGCAAAAGCAATAGAATACAAAGGTTAAAGTGAAAGAACAGATCCAATATGGAGTCAGATTTGTTCTTCCCTATTGCAAAAGGGCAGGGACCAAGTCTTTGATCACCACAGCCCTACTTCTGACTATAGTGGGGAGTATCAGTAAGCAGCTGTTGACTGACTAAACAGACTGAATGATAGACTGATAGACAGACTGATGTCCATCAGACAGATGGACTGATGGACAGATGGACTGACTAAATAAATGACTGCCCTGTGCCTCCATTTTTCTTTCTTACCCTTAGAAGTTAAGATTAATCCACAAAGCTTGGCCCCTTTGGTCTTTCCTTGCTTCATTATTACTTTTTACCTTGAATATTTTATTTAAACATCTGACTCTATTGTTAAGTATTTGGAGACAAAGAACACGGGCATTGCCTTGAGGCTATTCATGTGCAGAAGCTGGCTCTAAAGCCTGTACGAGAGTAGTTTAGGAAACAGGGACTTGAGAAGAGGGCTGGGATGGAAAATCATTGTACAGTTTATCAAGATATGACTAATCTGGCACCTAATTTTTGCCTCTACTTTAAACACACACCCTGTTTAAATCCCGTTTCTCTGGACTGCTAACTTTCATGTTTGTTACTATTGCCTGAAGTGAGCAATGTCTGTGGAAGGCAGCTTCTTTGCCAAGGAAAGCATATTTGAAATCACATTTCTTGTATTATTTTCACCAATTACAGAAGTGGTGATATCCATCGCAGAAATTCTTGAAACTACAAAGACACAAAGAAGAAAGTAAATAAATCCCACAATTATACTTTCCCAGGGATGATTGCTATCATTTGCACCATATTCGTTCTATGCATTGTGTACATATGTGTTTAAAATTTTATAACCTCTCCTTTTCATCTATGAGCTGATATGGATACCCCTTCCGATCAGTTCTTTGCAGTGAAGTTTTGACGGCTGGTACCATTTATCATGTAGATGCACCATACTTTATTCAACTAATTCTTTAGTGTATGTCAAATTTTTCTTTATTACAAATGACACTATAGACAACATTTTAGTAGCAAACTTTTTTCCCACATACCTGTGATTATTTCCTTGAGATCAATTATTTAAATGATATTTGTATTGTCACCAAAGGTTATACTAGTTCCCACTTCTGCCAGGAGTTGAACACAGAATCTTAATAGTTGCAGGACTACTGGCTTTCAAATTCTTTTGACCGTGACCTATAGAAAAGGGTACACTTTCAGTACCACCCCATATTTACAAACACATATACACAAAATTGAAAAGATAAATTTTATGAAACAGTACTCATCTCACTATTGTGATCCAGTGCTCTAGTATTTTCTTTTAAATTTATGTCATTTTAAGAAAAGCTAGTCATGATGCATTAAGCTAATTTCATGACCTGCTAGTGGGTCATAGCCTGTAATTTTCACAACGCAGCCTGGACTCACAGATCAAAAAAGGACCTTGCTATATAGAGTTGAGAGCTGCACCTCAGCAGAGTGTGTCCACAGTGATAAAAAGAAGCTGGGCTTTCAGGGGGAAATATTTTCTAGCTCAGTCTGTGGGGTGGCTTCTGCTAAGACCCAAATCTGATAATTCCGTTTTCACCAGAACACTACTAATTTGGCCCTTTAGGATTTAAGATTATGTATCTGGAAGTGGGAAAGAGATAAAGGCCTTTAAATATCTCCTAAGCACAGACACTAATAGAAAATGATCAGTTCTTGCTGGCTGCTGTCTCATCTTGGATCTGAGGGGAAGACTCATTGAACAGCAGCCTCCAGTGTTTGGACCAGGCGAGAGTTCACAATCCCAGCATTGCTGCTCTTAATCTGTTCCATGGAAACTTTTGGATTCTGAGAGTTTTTCTCTTCATAAATCAGTGTTTCCACAGCACTTGGTGGTCGATTTGAATAGCATCATCACTGTGTGTCAGGAAGTCATGAGAAAGTCTTAGGTTGGCTGTTTCTACAAGAGCCTTGGCAATCACTGCCTTCCCTGAATGTTGCAGAAGTAGCCCTTAGCAGTGAAGTGGATATATACACAGAGTACAAACAGAAGTGAACTTTGGAATTGAACTATATTTCCGTCTTTTAACTCCTTTGTTTCCCAGCCTAAATATTTTCTAACTCTCTCTACCTTTTCAGCGAAGTCTGTCACGTTTTGTGCA